TAAGGGGGTAAACCTTGCAGTCTAGGCTTGCGTTTGCATTGGGGACGAGCTCAATGGCATGATCCCATGGTTTTCGGGGAGGTAGCTCGTCAAAGTTCTCTTTTGCAAATACGTCCTGAAATTCCCGGTACAGTTCCGGTACTATTTCCTCGAACGTTTTTGCTTCTTTGGCTTGATTGGCTTTGGCAGCTAATTCGTTTGCCCTACTTCCCATCGCTCGTACGTGTAACGCTTCCTCGAAGTCTATGATAAGGATGGTGTCCCCTTCTTCTACTTCTGTTCCCCAACTCTGTTCCGGGTCTTCATCTGGTAATAGGAAGGGTATTTTGCAGGCATTGTTCCCGTTGTTTGTACGTTTCTTGGGACGAGCCGATGAGATCTAGGATTAGATCTTCATCCACTTCTATGAGCCTTCGGGGGTGTACCCACATTCGAAGGGTGGCGAGTTTTCCTTCCATAGTTTTTTCTTGTCGCATCTTTCACCTTACCCATTCAGCGCTATGGGGTTTGAGCCATCCCCGGTCCCACTTGTCATCGTAGTACTCTTCCTCTAATTCGGTTACTTCGTAATCTTCCGGGTACTCCTCGGTGTGTATCACCGGGTCTTCCCCTTTCGGTCACGCTCTGAGGCTTTGCTGATAGCTGTAGTCGTCTTCCTCATCGGGCACTTCTTCGAGATAAATGGTATTTTTATTTGGAATGGGAGATGCACATAATGGTCCCACCGACCCACCCACCAAGGAACACGAGCCCTCGGTGCCATTATGTGTTAGTGATGATGGAGGGAGACGCACCGTGATTGTTGAAGGGATGGGGTCCCCAGTCGTCTGGACTGTTCTTTGCGGGGCAGCGGTTTTCTTGCTGGGGATTCGCGTTCCCTTTTGCGGCTCCATTCCTCGATGAGGGCAGTCGGTCACTCGTGGCTGGCGCGTACATTCTGCCCTCGAGTGGGGTTCTTCGCTGCTCGCTTCGGGCTCGGCCGCTCTTTCTCTGTTCCCTGCACCGTCACCTGCCCTCGACGGAGTGAGGTTGATCCCGAGTGTCCCGCTGCCTTTCACCGTATATATGGTTTGCACTGTTTTACCAGCACCGGTGGCCAAGGAGCTTGAGTGGGGTTCTTCTTCTAGCACGGTGGAAATCCCCTGTACACCATTCCTTTTATGCGACTGAGTAATTTCATTTTGTGAATGCGTGAAAACTGTGATATTGCTCGGAGATACTACAAGTGAGTTATTAGTCCGACCTGCGGGGTTCAATGACGCACCACCAAATGAAATTAAGTCCTTAGCCGATGCGCATTTGTCGCTTATGCTGTCGGCTCGTCTTTTACCTCCTCGATCTTCGACGTCGATGCCTCCTGTTCCTCGTCTCTTAATACCTGTTGATACATCGCTCAGACCTCGGCTCGGGAGAACTTGGGTTGGTGCTTGACGAGCCAAGTGCTCTCATCTTTGGGGCACTTGTTGTCCTGTTTGCGATGTCCCTTGTGACCGCAGCGGAAACAATGGCCTTCCTTTCGGAGGCGATCTATTTCCATCGGCTGCCCCTGTCCCTCGTACGTGGTCCCTGTCCCTGTCTTCTTATCGCCTCGAGAATTCCCGGAGTTTCTGGCTTTTCCCGTTCCCTTGCCTTGTTGTCCCTGCATTCCCTGATTTCTGCCTGCGTCTTCGGCTAACCCTACCCGATAGTTGTAGTCCATCTGTTCTACTCTGAATTTCCATTCTTCGTAGGTGCGGGGTAACGCGGTGCCTGTTGCATGTATGGCAGTCTTGACGTTCTTTCGGATAGCGGGTTTTAGGATTTCGATCATGTATTCTTCGTTATGGCGCTTCCCAGATTCCTTTGCTAGTCGTTCGAAGTCCCGGAAGAATTCCTTCGCCGATTTGTACGTGTTTTGGCGTAGGCGTTTGAACTCTTGGAGTTTGAGTTCTACTTCCGCATCGGTTCGGAACTGATCTTCGACAATTTGCTTGAATACGGGGTATGATGGGTATCGCAAGTGACCGCATGTGGGATCATCGTATTTGTCCCTTTCATGATTCCACCAGTGTAAGGCTTTTTCCGTGAATCGGAATGTGCAGAACACGACCCTGTTCGGGCTTTGTCCATACGCGTTCATAGTGAATTGCTGAGGAAACACCGCGAAGTAGTCTTCACACTGGTTGAAAAATCTGTCCACGTCATTTGATGCCCCGCTGAACTTCTCCGGAGGGTCGGCTAACTGGGGTTTTACTAGTCCCCATGGGTTAGTATTTGCCGTTCCGACTAGGAAGGGAGGGGGTGTGTTTGGTGGTTGTACAGGATCGGCGGGGATAGGGATTGCTGCGGGTCACGGTAACGATCGTAATGTGGGGTTATGGTGTGGGGACAATGGTCCTTGTGGTACCGGTGCTGGGACTGGGGGTATTGGTGCTGCAGCTGCCTGTCTGCTTCCTGGCATTCCTGCTGTGGCGAAGAGTCTGCTCGGGTCTACGTATCCGGTTCTTTTGAGAATGCTGAGGTGGCTTAGATCCACCGTTTCTCCACTTTCCATTTCCGATGGTTCCGGTACTTCGTACCGTTCTCCTGGCGATGTGTAGTCATCCGGATGTACTTGGTTCCATAGTAAGTTGGTGTGGAATACTGTTTCTCGATATAGCACCTGGCCTCTCACGGCGCTGTTCTTGTTGTTCCAATAATATCTGCCTTGCGGCGATCCGTTCCACGAGATCTCTCGGGGCAACTTTTTCTCCGTCCAGTGCAGCATTTCCAAATAAGTCATATTTTCTAACTCGGCCTCAGTAGGCTCCCGAGCTAGATCCTTCCACGAACTCCAGGATGATGTCCTCGTCTCCATACTCTCCTGCCCGGTGTAGCCGCTCCATATCGATGGCAGCGCAATTCCAGGGTTCTCGTAGATTTCGCCTTCTTCTAAGTCTGATGGGTCGGACTCGCTCGAAAGGCTCTGTGCTTCCTGTAACGATTCGGTTCCAGTTTCGAATGATTCGGGCCCACTCATTGACCCGGAGTACGACCCGATCGAAGTCTGGTCGTCGGGGTCGATCCCATACCCAGGGTGCGATGAATGGGACGGGGGCTGCAAGGGGATGCTCTGGTGTGAGTGGATAGATTGCGTAGGGGACGACGGAGGAAGGGGGTTCGATTCCTTCGTACATGAGCCAGGCGTCAGCGTGGTCCTGCACTTGTCTGCATATTTCACAGCTTGCGTCGGCGTCGTATGTGGGCTCGCATTGGTCGAGCTTGGTAGTGGCCTCCCCGGCCCTATTGTTGATGATGATTGGGGTGTTCGGTCACGTGACAAGGGTGAGGTATGCTCCTTCGTCGTCGCTTGAGTCACTGCGGGCATAGTAGTAGCCCCACGTTTCTCCTCATGAGTCCAGCCTTGGAGGGGACCAGTTGTTTTGTGGTCCCGGGAGCTCGTGGCCATCACTGTCTTCCTCTGTAGTGCTGCTCTCTTCATCTGAACTGCTTCTAGTTCCATTTTCAGCTGTTCTTCTTTCTCCCAAACGGTATCTAAGCCCTCGCTGATAGAGACGTTGCCCGTCTGAATCGTAGCCAGGGTTGGCGGCTGAGTTCTCTGTGGAGGTGGGGGAGGGGGCGTCCCAGGGATTACTTCCCGTGTCTTCCCCTTTGCTTTCTTCCTCGGTAATGGGAGAGAGAACACGCTGGTCCACCCCTTGCTCGTAGATTCCTGGCTCTTCTTCATCTTCAACGACTGGGCCTCTTTGTGCGGGCCATCCTTCCATGTTGGGGTCGGAGTCCATGTCGGACTTGTCGGTTTCGTCAGTGATGAAGATGAAGTGGATGAATGTGGGATCTCGATTGTCGAGGTAGGCGGGAGGGGGTGTGTCCGGTCGTCTAGCCTCCTCGTTGGGGGCTTCGACGGGGATAGTTTCTTCGGAGACTGGCTCCTGGTTTCGTCGGTGTTCGTATCCATATAGGAATGCAAGATAGACCAAGGCGAGTAGGCCTTGTAGTCCGATGAAGTCGGTTACGGTTTGTTCAATGGGATTCATTCGTTACTGTTCATCAACGTGGTTGTTGATGAAGAGTAAGAAAGTCTCGAACTAATTGTTAGCGACCGATTACACAAACAAGATCAAACAACTAAGCGTGACTCGCACTTCGGTCAGGCGCTTTATGTTGCTCGCAGGTTTGCGTGCAGGGGGCTATCGCTTAGCGAGGCAAGAGTGAGTTCAGACCAAGTTATCGGGTGAATAAACTTTAGTTCGAGACTGAGGTTTAGGACCTGCAGTCAAGCTACTTAAATACAGTTTGAGTCATCCTAAGTATAGTACAAGAGTCTGTAGCAGTGCGGTAGACACACGATACATGCATGGCGTAGTGCGATCAGAGTCGGAAAGTTGGCATAGCAGGATTACGATGAGGTTGATAAGATAAGATAAAGCGCAAAATCGTAATAGATTCACAGAGACTTCTCATAGACACAGCAACAAGTGAGTCTTTGAACAATGGGACTCCAGACAATGGAATGCAGGCTCACGGACTTTGGCCGAGACCCACTGTCCAAGTTCACTCTGGTGATAGCTGTCATCTCACATAAGGATTTCCCCAGATTTTCAGGTACAGCACATCATAGTTAGTGAACACACTAAATACTCTCAATGTTAATGCAACCTTTGAAGTGTCATCCAACCTCTGTGAGCATGCTTGTAAGTTAGAGCATAGGGCACTGGGTATAGAGTTTGGCCTTCTCATCATGCATGCCCATCAGGTACAGTGCTGTGACTAAGTCCTGTTTAGAATCCCATTGCTTCTTATGCCATAAGTTATATTCTGCATCATTGCACCATGTAGTGTTAGTGTCAATGCGTCGTTTTAGTCTGCTTGCTCACTATATCTCTGTGTGCATGTAAAACACGCTAGATTGCAAAATTCCATGTGTAAGTAGGCTGCAGTCGCAACAACGGAGGACAAAAGAAAGTAGAGCAAATAAAACATACAAGAATATAACTCCCCCTCAACCAGAATCATGGCACTCAGTTGGAACCATCCACTGAGAACTCGACATCTGAATTGGCATTATCCCCAGGCCATTGCTCATACCCCAAATCCTGATAGCATCCAGCTCCAATGAAGCTTCCATCAGAATCTTCGAAGGTGTCCATGTGATTGAAAACCTCATCCAAATCTGATTGCGGACTGAGATGGTCAAAGAGTGAAAGTGGGCATTGAAGAAGGAGATGATCATGAGTGGGAGAAGTGGGGTGGAGAATTGGAATGTGAGTGAAAGTCATGACGGTCAGAATGCGATGAGCTTTCATAGACATGATGGGAATGTTCCAAACGCTCCTTTCCAGGACAGCCTAAAACCCAATCCTTGATCTCCTGAGGCATGTCTGCAATACACATGACAGCAATATGACCGGTCTGACCACAGCAATGACAATGGTTGTCGTGTGAGAGATCACACCAGCAATAATCACGATTGTCGATTGCACCAGATGAACCATGAGAAGCTGATGGACAGGATGAGTGACCAGATGAGCCATACTCCCCCTGAGACTGAATACCATGACCATTGCCATTGTCTGCTTGGTTCCTTGCAGAGCAAATGGCAAAGGCAGACTCCCCCTCTTTCTGTTTGACCTGGATGCTTGATACTCCCCCACTTTTGACAGTCATCTCACTTGCCATCAATGATGCCTTGATATTCTCAAGTGATGGTTCTGAAGTGGAAGTGAGAAGAGCAGTGCGAGCGACATCAAAGGAAGAGTCAAGATTGCGGATGATGGTATCTCAGATAAGAAAGTCGGGGATTTCATGATTCATGGCCTTGAGAGCAGTGGCGGCATCAAGAATGGTGCAGATGTAGATGTTGACAGGCTTGGAGGGATCATGGACAGCACCAAAAAGGCAGGACACATACTCAACACGAGTAGCGAACTGGCTCTTCTTGAATGCATTCTCCAGAGCAACCCAAAGTGCATGGCCTGAATTGATACCATCAGTGATGTAGTGGTAGTCACTGTGGATGGCAGATGTGATGGTACTGTGATGGGAAGTTGGCAGTAATGGCACACAAGAGTTAGATGAAGCAGAGAGTAGTCGAATGGAGGAAAGACCAGGTGAAAAGAACCTCTATTCAAGTAGTTCTAAGGAGTACGTAGGAGTATTTTAGGTCTTATATACGAGTAGGATAGGGTCTAATCTATAAAGAGAACATGGCTAAAGTAAAAGGAAAGGCAGGATAAGTAATAGAGATGTGGAATCACCACAGTAAAGTAAAAGAGTAGAATAGTAAGTAGGTAATGGTAAAGATAAGATAGGGATAAAGAGAACGAGAGTACCGGCATGATGTGCCAGCATGAATCTCCTACATACGCCCTCCAATGCTTTCACAAAAGCATCCTGTTATGCTTCGTCTAAGCCTTGTCGGCATCGGTAGTGGTAGGTGTGTCCATTTCCATGGCATTGGAAGGGGGGAGCACATCGTCGGGAATTGGGGAAAGGCTGGGAGGTCCAATGATGTGTAGTGAATAACCCGTATTGAGTCCCCAATCCTCATGCTTGGAACAGTTTTTCTGATGCTGTTTCTTGGCATAGCTGATACAATCCCTGCGGCATTGTGAAGCAGATGCCTCGGCCCATACAGTGCAGTTGGCCATAGCCCACTCCTCATTGGTTAGAACCCGGCCAGAACTCAGTCCTGCTGGGGAACTCTCGTGACCTCCCTGCTCCTCAGCCTTCCATTTGAGTGGTAGGGGAGGGAAAATCTCCTCTATGGTGACACGAATGTCGGATAGTACTTCAACACTCCCTCCACATTGAACAGGGAACACGCTGGGCATGTCCTCGTCATTCCATCCTGCTGTGAATGACCTGTATCCAGCGGGCTCCACCCACCCTTGGAGAATGTCACCCTTGGCCAAGTGGTTCACGTGCTTGATGTACAAGGTCACCTGTTCATGGTGGTAGCCCAAGGTCCTGTTCTTGCACTTGAGCATGATCAAATATGGGCCCGCACAGATGAATTCGTCAGGACAGGTAGAGGAGGCATAGAGGGAGTCGTGGATAGAAATATGGAGGTTAGAGAGGGAGAAATTGAGGTCATCAAAGGCCCAAGTAAGTTGCAGTGGTGATAGATAGGTAGTACGAATGGAGTCAATCAGAGAATGGACGGCGTCGAGGCTCTGATGGATGACAGGTGGGCAGGGTAGGGAAGCAAGGCAGTGGTCAGCAAAAAATTCCTTCATAATACTGTCCTTCTTATAACCCAAAGGTTCCTCCCCACTCCGAATACCTGAAAAAATTTTCTTCAACCTGCCCTCCGAAACCATGGGACCATGGTGATCAATACCAATGGCCCCTAGGAAAAATGCAGGCTCATCTCCTGATGATCCCGTGCCCTCCTTCAATTGTGCTATTTTCATGATGCTGAGGACATCAAAATAATCCTGCAGTGCAGTAAGTCCCTCAGCATCAGCATAAGGTAACCAAGTGTGATCTCCCGAAGCCCATTCAACATGGAAGATCACATGCTTGCCCTTCCCAACATGAGAAAGGATACTGGATACCTTTCATTCTTTCTCCAGGGGTTCGGTTAGGCCAATCTGGGTATCCATTCATCCTGGGAAGAACCTATCATCATTCGGAACATGCACCCAAAGCAGGGAAGCATGAAAGACATTATGAATACCATGTCACTTGAGATTGGAAGGTAGCTCCACTTTATAGGAACCATTTCCGAAGTCCCGCGAGATCCTGTATGGCCCAATGAATTTCGGAGCTAGCTTTCAAGCCAGACCTTTGGGGAGTGATATGTTCTTTGTTGAAATATACACCAAGTCTTCTGCCACAAGGGGGGAAACCTGACAATGCCTGTTTGCATCACGTGTTTGCTTGACTCATGCAGTGAGGATGCTATCGTGAGCACTCATCAATGCAGTTTTCACCATCTCGGCAAATTCTCGAACACCTGGAAACTCTGAGTCAGTCAGCAAGTTCCAAATCATTGAACGAGGAACATGCCCGGTATTCAAGAAGAAAGGGGAGTACCCTGTTGAGTCCGAACAAGCACTGTTGATTGCAAACTCAATGGCGGGTAAGTGGGCAACCCAATCCTTCTGGTCCAGTGAGATGCAATTCTGAATCATCTGCATGATAGTCCTGTTTGCTCGTTCAGTTGAACCATCTGACTCTGGATGATACGCACTAGGCATATGGAGATTTACCCCAATCAACTTGTGCAAGTGAGACCAAAAATTGCTCATAAAGATAACATTGCAGTCAGACACGATATTCTTTGGCAGGCCATGATGTTTGTATATTTCTGCAAAAACGAGTTCAGCAACTTGAAAAGCTTTGTAGTTGGTTCGCGATGGGACTAAGTGCATCATACCAGTTAAAAGGTCTATGAATACAGAAATACTGTTAAATGACCCATCCCTGTTTGAAGATTCAGGGAGAGGACCCACAAAGTCAAACCCCATAGATTCCCAAGGGAAAGTCGGCACCTTCAACAGATTTAGCAAGCCATAAGGCTTCTGATTTGAGGGCTTGCTTCGCCTACATGTAGAGCAGGACTCACAGTAGGCCTGAGTATCCCTTGCGATACTCTTCCACCAGATGTGGTCCCTAAGGTAGGCCAACGTCTTTGAAGATCCAAGGTGAGCCACTAGAGAGTGAGCCTCACTGATTATGATCTCCCATAAGTCGCGGTCATGCACACGAACATTCTCCAGGATGCATAGGAGCTTGTGACCTTCCTCACACAAATAAACCAGACCATTCTCCACCGAGAAATTCTTGAAGTGCAAAGGGGTGGCCGATATCTTGGACAGTAGTGTATCACCAGATGTGTTGTCTCGCACGATTGGTAGCAAGTCAATGTCTAGTAAACATGAGGAAACGAGGCCAGTGAGGGACGACAGCGAGGAACTCGCTAAGGTCGTGTCAGGGCCTGGCACAGCCCCAGCTGCCGGTAACTCCGAATCTGGTATAGCCGGATTTTGGATCGGGCCTCATTGCTCAAGTGGCTGTGCAGCCACATTTCCACCAATGTTCAACATCGATAGTCCCACATCAGGCTCGCCCTCCACTTCAATGCTGCCATCGTCAGACAACCCCATGTCATCACCACTGTTACTGGGTGCCGCAGCCCAATCTCTGGGATCCTCTGAAGGCCTTGGGCCATGCAATACAAATTTCTTGCCCACCATTCATTTAGCAAATGCTGAGGACGACTTGTTCGCTTGGATTTTCAGTTTCAGCTTCCACTGGGGCTTCGTGCCAGATCCCATACGTGTCAGCATCACTGCGTTTGCTTCAAGGCCTGTCAACATCAGTGTCATTACTTCAAGATGGGAGGGGTCCGATGGAGGATGGTCCTCATCATGTTGAGGGAACTTGGAGGGTGCATGAACAGTACCCAGGGACTCGTTGGAGTAGAGGCAAGATAGTGCATCGGTGAGCACATTCTCTGTCCCAGGGACATATATTACTTCAAAGCTGAAATCTGACAGCAGCTCCATCCAACAAGCTTGCTGTCCAGAGAGGTTACGTTGATTCAAAAGGTGAATCAGCCCTTTATGGTCTGTGTACCACTTAAAGTGACATCCCAGCAGTATATCCTGGTGCTGTCTCATAGTTTCCACTCCTGCGAACATCTCCTGCTCATGTACAGGGTAGTTCTGTTGCACAAGATTTAACTTTGCTGAGAAGAACACAGCAACTTTGGCATTTTTCCAGTCTTCACCTTGGCTTATGACGCCAGCAATCCCAGTACTAGTAGCATCAGTGATGACATTTACCATGGGGGCATCTTTCTCATAGTCAAGAGGAACATGATGGTTCTCTCACCAGCAATGTACATATTCCTTTACTTGTTCAAAGGCTCACTGATGTGTCTCAGTCCAATTCCAAGGTACAGTAGCCCCAGTTAAGGTGTGCAACACCCCCATTGGAACTCGAATATGGTCAATGTTATCTGCGAGGTACCCTACCGATCCTAGAAACCCACTCAAGAGTTCGCGGTTTGTTGGTACCTTCCAATTCATCACGGTATTGACTTTTGAAGGATCCATCTTGATTCCTTTGTCGTTGACGATATGTCCCAAGATATGCAATTCTCATGCTAGGATTTGGCACTTTTTCTCACTGAGGTAAAGCTGTTGCTCTTCCAGGATGTTGAATATAAGCTCACAGTGTTTTGTGTGCTCTTCAATAGTATCTGAATACACAATAATATCATCAAGATAAACATCCATGAACATGCCAATGTATGGAGAAAATAAATGATTCATCAAGGCCTGGCAAGTAGCAGGTGCATTGCAGTCACCCTGCTACATCACAAGGCTTATCATGTTTCTGTCAGGCGTAGTTATGGCTGTACAGTCAAGGTGCTCCATGATTATGCAAATCTGTTCGTACACTGCCTGCAAATCGAACAGGGACCGATAGTGTCTCCCTGCTACTCGACGGAGAATACCATCAATAGAGGCTAACGGCACCACCATTTTACAGGTGTTCGCATTTTGCTCACACAAATCAAACACAGTGCGTAATTCTGGCATATTTTTTGGTTTATTGGGTTTAAATATGCATAACATCGGTACAGTGTTTCATGCTGTAGTCACCTTCCAGCAGCCAGTAGCTAGGTAATCCTTTTTCTTCTCAATCCATTGCTTGAGCAAGGGCTCAGGGCATTTGGATGGTCACCAGTGGTACGTCTTACTTTCATCAATCAAAGGAATTTCATGATTGATGGGCCTAAAAGGAGGTAACAGAACCTTAGCTGCATCATTAAACAACCCACGAGCTTGTGCGGATTCGAGAATGATGTTTCAAACATCTGCAACTGTCTCTTCTGCCAGTTTGACTGAACAGGAGGCTAGTTCACTGACATTAGATCCTTCAATGGGTAAGCTCTCCTTGCTTCCAATATGGACTATGTTCTCATTCATCCCCATAGTGACTTTGTGCTGAAATAGGAATGGCATCCTAAGTATTACATCGTAATTTCCAAGATTTGCAATATCAAAGTATCTTTGTTCATCAATGCCTTGATATTGGAATCTCAGCTGGGTTCCATAATTGATTTTTGAACGTGAGCCTTGTACAGCAAGATGTAATGAAATGGGCTTTTCAAGCTCAATTTTCTTCAAATTTAATTTGTCTGCCAAGGTAGTCGACATGAAATCAGACAGCAAACCTGAATTGATGAGGACCCAAGCTTTATTCCCTTCAATGAAGACATCTACTACCATTGGCTTTGGGACTAGCTGAGTAAAGTCATGAGGAATACCCGCATTATGTTGAATGGCAGTAAGTTTGTCCCGTTTGTGACTTACATGTCCAAGGTACAGGCTGTCTAGTCTCCTGCAGGGTTTACGTGTTACAGAATCTCCTACATACCCACCCTCCAAGCCAGCAAGACCAACTTTCCAACCAGACCAGCAGCAGGTACACAGTTGTTTCTTCTCCCAGCATTGAACCCAGGCTAACCACCAGTTGTAGAGCTGGAACTTTGGATGAAGAGCTGTTGCACAGGATAGACGGAATTCATGCCCCAGAGCACGATCACATACTCGTAATACATTGGGACTTCTGTAAGACACGCTGAACCTTTTAGCCACATCGTGGAATTCACCATTGAATCCCTCATTAAGGTATTCTTCAACAAACGTGGCCATTAAGTCCTTAGGCAACGGTGTAGGCAACTCAACGGAGGGGATTTCATAAGTGTGAATTAGGTAGGACCTGTACCAGGATACCATGTCGCCATACTGAATGATGTCCGCAGGCACAAGTACTTCATCCTGTCCATCATGGCAAGCATCAAACAAGACAAAATTCATGCCTTTCATATGGTACATGGTGAACCATGTTTTAATCCCACCTTCCATGCCCTTGGACCCTTTGATCGCAAGTGAGTCTGGCCAATTGGTCATGGAGTTCATGTGCCAAGCCCACCATTCTTGGAGCATATCACCCATAGGTTGTTTGAGCCACAACTCAGCCTTGGCAGGTGACCAAGCACATGCACGCAGTGTGGGCAAATCATCATCAATGAGTTCGAGTCTGATATTATTTAGTTGAAAGCTCATCAAGCTTTCTGCCACCTTTGATAAACGATCAGCCTCCCTCAACTTTAACTGAATGTTCGCTGAAGATATTGTGGGTGGTTTCCGATGGCCAGGAGGACCTGAACGTGAACCGGAGGCAACTGAGCTACCCTCAGGGCACTGTCGAGAGGTGTGTCCAACCTTTCCACAGTGGAAGCACCTTCCTTCAGTGAGGTACTCATTACGTTGCTTTTTATCCAACTTGTGCTCATGCCAGGGGGCCTTCTTATCCATTACAGGCTTCTCCCAATTACGAGCTGGGCCCTTACATGGAATGCCAGATAATTCATGAAGTTCATCGTTGAAGCTCAGATGAGCTGGTTTTGGAGAGTGATCTTGCTTGGAGTGTGGTATGTCATTCCATTTATTTTGTTCAGTTGTCTCATTCGTGTGATGATTCTTAGCACAGTGGTTATGCTCATAATCTCCACAAGATTTTCCTTCATTACTATGCTGAGTGATGTCAAGGATTTCAGCCATATCAACAATCTCATGCCAAGTATTGATTTCCTCATTATAGAAATGACGACTCAGCTCCTCCCGGAGATCGCGCCATAACCCATACCACAAGCAGAGCACTTGAGTATGTTCTGACTCATCCCTGAGCATATGGTAATGGCCTTTCAGCTCATGAGCATACGCACACACATCACAAGAACCTTGGAAACACTGTCTGATCCTTCGACAAACCTTAGCCCAAAAATCCCGAGGGAAGCAATAATTAAACATCTCCCAGAAGAAGGTAGTTAAGTCCCATTCATTGTAATTCATACTGACACTTTGATCATAGAAATCACGGGCCTTCCCTTCCAGGAAACAAGAGATGTGAAATACTTTATCCTCATCTTTAACTCTTCCCATCTTCAGGTATTGTTCACATTCTTGAATGAAGCATGCCACTAATTTCGGGTCATCGCTACCATTATACATACATAGGGGGATTGGTTTCTCCCATGGAGTACGGTCTCGAGAGTGAAAACGTGAATGACATGTCGATTTCTTCTTCTTGTGATGCTTCTTCTTATGACGCTCATTCCCAGAGCCTGACTCATCATCCGAGGAAGATGATGAAGAAGACGATGAATCAGAGTCACCAGGTTCATCAGCAGGTGTGTTAATTGGTTCTGCACTGCCAATGGACTTTTTCAAAGCTCTCCCCAAGAAACTATTCGGAGCAACCTGATCCACAGCAAACACAGGCCCATTCCGAACATTGGGTGTATCTCTATGTTTGTGGCCTCACATGGCATTTTGTGATATGTTGATCATGTGGTGCATATCTATGTGAGGATTACCCATCATGTTGGTACCTGCTATTGGAGACTGACCTCACAAACCACCAGGACTACTAGCTTTTAGTCCCGAAGGGCTCAATGACTTGGAATCTCCCTTCCAGTTGCCCAAAGTTGCATCAAACATCTCTTCAGTCTTGATCTCCTCTGCAATCCTGACCTTCTTTACAGGCTTCGGAATCGGGGTGCTTGTAATTGGCGGGGTAAAGTGCATGGCCTCTCCAGAAACCTCACCCTTTGTCATGGGGGCTGAGGTACTGGCCATCTCAGGTTTCATCTTGGATGAAGTACTAGCTTTACTAACAAGTGTGTTAGTGGGATGCTTAAACGCCTTCCAAGTCCTAACAACATCTTCATAGATAGCTTTTTGTACTTTGGGATCCTCATCTTTCAAAAAATCAAAGTTCTCCCAAGCATGTTGTTGATTCTCAGGGTCCAATTCTTCATTGTCAATACCTGGAATCCCAGTGTCCCGAAAATCATGAACCTTTCCTTTGTTGACAAAAGGCCTTTCTACAGGTACTTCATTTCCCATCTCATGTTCAGTATCTGATTCAGGGTTCCATGTATTTTCAGCTTGAATCACTCCAGCCTGGGCTTCGAGTCGAGCTGCCTCCATGGCAGCCTCTTGTTCCCTTCTAACTTGATTTGGGATATTAAGAAACTGCTTTTCGAAATGCTTCTGCCATATGTCATATACATACTTTACAGTATTCTCAATAGCAACCCTATTCTCATCACCATTGGAATCAGATAAAATTTCATATCTATTTTTCGTGCTAGCAGTAAACCCAGTAATTTTTGAACCAGGGTCCAGGGAAGGGGTACGTCTACCCTTCTTCTTCCCCACAGTCTCCCATCCCATAACTTCGCTAGGGTGGAGAATGACAGAATCGTCATTGAGATCCAGCAGATCTACGTCCAACGCAGTTTGGAAACCTGCGTAACTCAGCTCATTCGCAGCAACGCAACTGCCAAACTGGCTAGGAAGGTCGAAGTCCTCAGACGCAATGGACTCCTCCTTCACAGGCCAAGAAGATAATCTCTTCTCATTGATAGAGACAGGGCTTGAGCTTCTCGCACTGATGTCAGGCACAAGGCTCGCAATGCTAGTAAGGGAGCTTTCCATGTCCCCCAAAAGGTCAGCATTATTTTTAGATTGAATAGACAGCAACTCAGCGGAAATGGCAGGTGCCTTTTTATTGCCCTGAAGCGGGAGCCCCTGAGCAAATGGAGCAACCCCTTTTGAACGGGTAAATGGTGCTATAGATGCACAAGCGAGAAGAAAAAATTGAAGCAAGTTTAGAGAGGTAGAAGAATCAAGAGGTCCAGAATTTTGGAGTGGCGAGGCGAAGCCGTGCAGAGATCTGGGTGATCAAGCCAGAGGGTTCCAATCGACGAGGCCTTGCTAGTAAGGCTTTTTTGTTTTTTGAAGTCGAGGTTTGTTGAATTTGAGGTTCTTGTAGGTCAAAAATATGTGATGGTACTGTGATGGGAAGTTGGCAGTAACGGCACACGAGAGTTAGATGAAGCAGAGAGTAGTCGAATGGAGGAAAGACCAGGTGAAAAGAACCTCTATTCAAGTAGTTCTAAGGAGTACGTAGGAGTATTTTAGGTCTTATATACGAGTAGGATAGGGTCTAATCTATAAAGAGAACATGGCTAAAGTAAAAGGAAAGGCAGGATAAGTAATAGAGATGCAGGATCACTGCAGTAAAGTAAAAGAGTAGAATAGTAAGTAGGTAATGGTAAAGATAAGATAGGGATAAAGAGAATGAGAGTACTGGCATGACGTGCCGGCACGAATCTCCTACAGCAGAGTACATGATTGCAAGGTCTTCTTCATCCTTCTCCTCCCAGGACTTGGCCTCTTCTGGGACCTTGGGCTTGGAGATTTTGCCACTGATGATGCCAAAGGTCTTGTTCATCATGAAAACCATCGAGATCTCCTTCTTCCATTGTGCATAGTTGGTGGCCCCTCGGAGCTTGAGGACAGAAGAGATCAGGGAGAAGACACCAGATAAGACCATGATTGAAGCAGGGATATGAATGAATGAAGTGGAAGTGGAAGAAAAGAGCGGAAGAAAGAGAATGAGAGTTTGGGGGTGAAACACAGATAGCAGCACAGATATATTGATTTAAGGTCAGAGGAGCTCGGGGCCCATAACCTATTGAGGAATTAAGGTTGAGAAGCACTGAATAGACACCGAACAGGTGCTTGATGGGCGCTAAACGATCACGAGATGGGCGCAAGAAGTGAAGTTCAATTACAGCAGTTTTCATAATTATGTGGAATTCCAATTTTGAAAAATTATGTGGTCCTATTTGCACCGCATGTCGGCCCGGTACACGAAGTGCTCCACCTTTTCACACGATTTCACTGGTTTACATTCAAAAAGCACATTTATGTACCTTATACTGCACTTATATTTTGTTGAATTAGGATGTATCAATGAAAGACCTTTTCCCATGTAGTAAGGTCAAAGTACGCTGCTAATACCAAAGGATTGCCAGCACAAGACAGACATTGAGTCTGACAAAGTCAAGAGACCGAAGCTTACTGATACCATCTGGATATGGAGATGCCAGGTCCAACAATATTAATTGATGAGTATAGCAGCATGTAGTGCTTGAGGATGTCACTTTCGAGTGAGCACAGAATGACAAAGGCTGGATTCTCGAAGGTTTTGCCTCACTCGGAGTCCTGCTTGTAGAGTGCAATGTCGCTATATGCCATGTCATAGGAGCAGAATGCAGTTGATAAACATCTTGAGGCCTTCAGAAATACAATATAGGCATCGTAAAATAGACAATACTGTCGTGCCGTCGTCGCACGGCACGACAGTGGTGGGAAGAGAAAGGGCCGGGGCCTTGCGATCCAAATACGACCACATAATTTTTCAAAATCGGGATTCCACATAATTATGAAAACCGCTGTAAGAAAAATGCCACGTAACTACTATATGTACGTATTTACTGGCGTCGTCCTCATGTGGAAGTGCCGGCCCGATAGGATACCTCAACAAATGCCTATTTCAGACATCACATACTACATTAACAAAGCAATCATAGAATATCATCCACTTTCTTTGTTATACACCTGGAATAAGTCAAAAACACACGGTTACAGCATTATTCACAGTGCATCACACAAAATATCATCTTCTGTCCAATAAAGACACTCATAGTCAGTGCTACGTAGCAAAAACCTTTTTCCTGATGTCATAGCGTATTTTTGCAGGTATTACAGGAAGTGGAAATGCAGCAGATAATAGTATGCTCTTCCACTAATGGATGTCAATGGCCCGCTGCTTTCTTACGCTCCTTTTTCTGAACGCGTCTTTCCCGGGCCTCTGCCTTGACAGCTTTTTTGCGCTCCTTTTTTGCGTCGCGGTCTTCGTGCCTATGGCCCCGAGGGCGCTTTTCCCGATCAATATCCTCCGGGTTGTCACCCACTGATCCCTCGTCGTCATCTGCCACCTGCTCGTCGTCACCCGGCGCAGCTGCTACCGCCTCCCGCACCCGCCCCTCCTCAATATCCCGCTCTGGATCATACACATCATCCAATCTCCGCGGGATATACGTGTGCTTGAAGGCGCCATCATCGAGATCCTTCTCCTCCGGCTCACTCATCAGTTTCCTCAGCGTCTCCTCATTTTCCTCCTCGTTAGTCACCCACCCAAAAGACCTCCTCAGCCCCAGCACGGTCACCCCTCGCCTCCCGAAAAACACTTCAACGTTGCTCAGATCACTCCGCAGAAAATCAAACGCACTCGGATGGTCGTGCTCGACGCTCTGCCCAACATCGATAATCCAGATATGATCTTGGTGCAGTAGTAAGTTGTACTCTGATAGATCGGCATGCACCAGGCGACATTGGTGGTAGATTGTTCTGATCGTGAGCATTAGCTCGACATAGAGGTCATCCCACGCATCCGACTCTGCGTCCTTCAGTCGTGGACTCGCTTGTGAAGCTTCACCCAAAAAGTCCATGACCAGTACGTTCTCCCGGACCTCGACTGGCTCAGGACACCTGACCCCGGCCGCCCTCAGCCTCTTCAAATTGCGCATCTCCTTCTCTGCCCACATACGGACCATCTTCCGTGGGTTGTGCCGAGCGTAGCCCCTCCGGAAACGATGCTCCCCAGCGACATACCGGTCGCGGTCCTTGAAGATGAGAATAGATGTTTTGTAGATCTTGAGGGCGAGTTCACGCTCGACAGGTTCATGGGCAACACCGTGATAGACATTGGCTTCCTTTCCTGTGCTCACGCAGCCGTTGATTTCTGCGACCACGCCCCGGCCCACCATCTTCAGCAACACGACACGCGTCCGTGCATCCAGCACCTGCTCCGTCGTCGCACGATCAGCTTTATCTTTGAGGTTCGCGTGGGCAGATGCGCCTTTTCTGTTCACACCCACACCCAGACTATGGTCCATATTAGCGATTCGTGAGCCATACTTTGAAGAGAGCAGGGCCAGTTGCGAGGCTGTTTGGTCCTTCGAAACCGTCGTCGTTGCCTTGCGAACTGCCGTCGACTGAGAAGGGTGATTGACAGCCGGGAGAACAGCAACATTGCTCCCTTTGCCGCCTGCAGGCCTGGTCGTCGTAGATGTCGTCGTTGCGGATCCCGACCGAACTGCAAGGTGTTGCCTTAGACGATTGTACTGTTTTGTAAAATCTAACAGGCCATGTAAGCAATCCTTGAGAGTTAATCAAGTCTATATACCTTTCTCTGCAACCTCCCAGTCTTCGTCCTCGACTCGGACATGATCATACTCTTCATACTCATCAGAATCATCCAAGTCGTCATCTGAAGTCAAGTCGACAAGCTCTTCATCGTCGATACGACCGTACTCGTCGTCGGGAGCGTCGTCGAACTGGCCATCTTCAAAGTCAGTCATGAAAGAGAAAATTAAATGAATATTCACTGCGGCTGTGCGCTTAGTCATCCAGCTTCTTAAGTCACGATTAAGGGCTTGGCAAATGCCTTCATGGATCGCCCGGTTACCTCAAAGTCTCGCGGAATTTGCAAGTACTACAAGGAACCGAGAGGCTGCTTTGCAGGCAACAAGTGCAAGTTTCTTCATGACGAGCCAAATACTCGAAGCTTGACGCCCTACGACCAAGCAAAGACTTGTCGTTTCTATGCTCAGGGTGCGTCATTATCACCGTCTAGGTTCATCTTTCTGACCTACTCTCTAGGTTTTTGCAAGAGAGGCGACAAATGTTGGTTCAAGCACACTGCAAGACCTCGTAGTCCTGGCTTAGAGGACGAGGACGAGCCCTGTTCCATTTGTTTTGAACAACCTGTTACCTATGGCCTTCTCAGTGCGTCGTCGTGTTTTCTTTCACTTGTCCATTGCTGAGACCGTTCCAGTGGGTTGCAGTCACGTCTTTTGTATTTCAGTGCGTCAAACTCTTCACCTTGCCACTGAGTACTGACGCCTCCTTGCAGTGTATCAAGCAATGGCGAGATTCATCCAAGCAGAATAGAGATCCGGGCCCATCCAAAGTCACCAAGCAATGCCCAATGTGTCGTGCTCCTTCCGCATACATCACGCCCTCATCCATCTTTTACAAGAATGAAGATCCCAGAAAGGAGAAGATCATAATTTCGTACAAGGAGAGCATGGCCAGGGTACCTTGCAGGTGTGTACCGCCATGGTATCTCGCCGATCCGGATTCATCAACTCCTATTCAGGTATTTCCAAGCATCCAAGATGGAAGATGCTACCAACCCATTTTGTCCCTTTGGCAAGGATTGCTTTTACCAACATTTGAACGAGGACGGGACTCCTCACGTTTTCACGCAGGGTGTTGATATGTGTATGAGGGTGCGTCACGTCGTTCGCTCATCTGACTAGATATTCAACAAATCACAGATTTATTCACGGCGTCGGGCGAGACCTGTTTTTTCGTTCCCTGGAAACTATTCGGACCCTGTTGAAATGATTGGATTGCTCATGGACACCATGGACAATCATTTTAACGACATGGGAACGTTTGAAGGCACGCTTGATGCTATGCGAGCAGAGTTGCGGCGATTGGGATTTGATAGTAACGATGCGCCGGTCCCTTTTCCTCCGGCAGAGGCCGTATCGCATCACATTGACTTACTCCGTCCTGTGCGTCCTGTTGGGTCTCAGACGCGACGACCACCTGTTTCAGTAAGCAGTGACTGCTAGCATGAATGGGCGTGAACTAAATGACTAGCGTGGATAGGACGAGACTATGCCGAACCTTGAACCAATTATTTCAAGCTCATCCCATGGAATTCGTACAAGAGAAGGCGAGAGGAGAGATACACATGACAGCGACGACTCTATGCCTCCACTAGAGGACGTTAGTGACAGCGGCTCGGAAAGTGGTTGGAGCACTGAAGACGATGAAGATGACGATTTAGGTCGAGATGCAGTTCCGCCTTCTGGGTTTATGTTTAGGCCTGTTGAGACAGCTGTTACTTGGTCTGCGGGAATAGGTAGCGGCATGGACTTGGGTATCGACGTTGACGACGAGACTCCCGACGACACAGAAGATTCGGTGGACTCGACAGCAGATGGCGGGCAGTCTAGCACAGAAAATGGGCGACCGCCGTTTGTCACGGATGGACGAGGACGGGTAATTGGTGCAAGTGAGGAGGAGCAGGATAATGCTCTGTCACGATCGTTCTTTGGTCGTTTTTTCTTTTCTCGCTCATCGTAGTTTCGTGTTGCAGCATTGTAGAAATTATATTTGTAAAATATACAGACGTTCTAGTCACAGGCACCGTCTTTCCATCTCTCGTCCGTCTTTTCTAATGAACAATCAAACTGTGGCTTTCCGAGCTTCAAGTTGACCTCGTTGTGTCTCTCACACAACCACCGACTCAATCCTGCCCTGCTGCTAACGTCTGGTGGATGTGCCTCTATGTTCTTCCCAAAATCACTGGCGCAGTAGAAGCACGGGTACAGCACTGGGAGTGCTCTGAGTAGCGTGAGCATATTGGCGCGCTGGTTGGGCGTCGGACGGTCGGGATAGTAGGCGGCTGTGACATGGAGGAACGTCCACGTCGCGCGACCAAGCTGCTCGACGTCGGGAGGACATTCGGTTGGTGGTGTCACTGGCACTGTCGCAGCTGCAGCCGCCGTCGATGACGCGGTTTTTGTTGCTGTCGTGGGCGGTCTCCAGGCTCGAAACGCAGCGCCACTGCTACAGACTCTGCAGGGCTTGCCATCTGGGCCTATTACCATGCCTGGTGGAAGGGAGCCATCGTTCTGTGAAGGCGATCCCATGTTGGTTGGTAAGGCGAAAAAGGACCTTTGTCTGTGGCTGTGTAATTCGGCTCTGAACCGTGACTACGATGTCGTCTGGATTCAGCTGGACAGGATGTGAGCCCGTCGTCTGTTCATTACTTCTGCTGCTCACCTCGTCTAGCTCGACCTCGCTGCTTTGTCTATTGGCAAGAGTTTTCCAAATGCTACTCTCAAGCAGATGTTCCCCAGCAATGTGCCGCTCAATCCGCTGATTACCTCGAGTGTCTACATGGTGACAAAGAGGTGAGCTTCATCTGTTGCCTCTGTCGCCTGGCTAATGCTCGACAAGGCTGCACGTACTGCTGCCATCGCTGCCGAAGCTACTCGACAGGGCGCCGCAAAGGTCCAAGAGGCGGCAAAGGAGGAGGGTTTGCCCGTTGGCGTTGGCCTCATACAGCGCTCGTAGTTTGTGCAAACAATATCACTCCGAATATCTTTGAATCATCACTTTCAAAACCACAAATCACTGTACACATAACCTCCAAGAGATACTACAAGTCGAGAGGCTCAGGGTAAAATAACGATACAATACTTTCATCCCCTAATCTATCACATCCTTGGCTGAATCTTCACCAGAATCCAGCAAGCTATGGACAGACATTAGCATCAGAAAACTGAAGACCCAAAAGCACGCACCTGAACTGTTTCATCAGAGAACACTCGCCACCATTTTCCAGGTCAATGTTGTACGAGTAAAAGTAACCCTCAGAGGAAATTACCATAACCTGTGGCATCGTCCCACTCAGCGCAACTACACATCGTGCACCACTCGTCGGCAACCGCAAGAAAGCAAAGTCCCTGGACGGCTCCCACATCTCCGTTATAGTGTTGGGAAGATACCCGCCCATCGAATGTGATAGGCTCTTCGTGACCTGTAACGACTTCCTCCTCAGACTAGATGACACTCCACTGCCCTTCTTCTTCTCGATAAACGCCTCGTACCCTCCATCAAGCTGTGTTGTCTCCCTGCTGTCCACAGACTCTGCTGGACTCGCCATCCCATCCTTCCTCTGTGTGTTTCCGCCACCTAGCCGGAAGATGTGGACAGTGTCATGCGCTGAGCTCACCGCCAGCAGCGACGAAACCAAATTGAAATTGATCGAATAGATTCGTGCTTCGCGCGTCCCCCGGCGGAATTGATAGAGTTTCTCAGCACCCGGGATGCTCCAGACGCGAATAACAGTGCCCTTGTCGGAAGCAGTGGCCAAGAGAGTACCGGTGGAATTGATGGACAGAAAGGATATGGGCGATTTGTGAGCTTGAATAACATTCGCGACGGTGAGAGAGCGGGTAGAGAACAGCAGAACGTCGCCAGATTGTGTCTGCGGCTGCGAAGACGAGGCGACTGGTGGTGGTGCAGCGAGCGGGTGATGTTGGTGAAGGTACAGGCGAAGGATACGCCAAGTACGAGCTGTCGGCCGACGGAGAAAGGGCACAAATGGCTGGGACCGTCAGTACACGCTTCCCATGAAAACACGCTGGAGCGTACCTTCAGGATTCGCCGTCGTTTCAATGACGTGTAACAGCCGCATGTTTGAAATATCGTATATGTAAATCTCGGTTTCCAGCACGATGACAAGCGTTTTCCTGTTCAGCTTGACGGCGAGAATTGACGACGGAAAAAGTAGCTCGCATATCATGGACTGCCTCTGCACTGAGTTGAGTGGCAATAAAGAAAAGGGCCAGGAGAAAGCACCTTTGTATTCACTATCTGCAGCTTCCTTGGACTTGAATGCGGTTGGTCTGCCGCTCCGACCAGGGCTATCAGTGACGTGCAGAACAGCATCTCTACTATGCCACGGGCACCCATCATCTAGATACCAAATTCAGTAACAGACGACCACGATGTTCAGTGACCTACTCATCGTGTACACCCTTCCAAATGGCTCGCAGTTGGTGATGCTGTAGCCCCTCCGAGTGCCGACCGACACGCATCTAACAGATTCTAAGCGTTTTTGCAGGTACATTCGACTCGAACATTCAGAAACTCACGAGAAATCCTGATTGAAGTTAGCAAAGAGCATGTTGCTATTCGTCCGTTCAGTCATGGTGAGCAAGAGTGAAGGTATGCAGGGAAAGGGTAACTTGCCAAAATTGATCACATTGGCTTCCACGTGCGTGAAAATTTCCTTATTTGGTGTCCTGAGAGAATGTCATTTCTACAACTCTACACACATAAGCTGCTGAGCCCTGTAAAGAGACGACTCCTCTGCGCATTCCGTAAACATTTCAGATCGAGCTGCGCGCCCCACCGCGACCACAGATTCAAGTGAGGTTATCGATCCTGTGAGATTCAAAACAGGAAGTGAGCGCCATTCCGGTAACGTCTTCCCTGGCAAGTCCAACAAGACAGAAGGTTCAGTACCGTCCGTCAACTGCATCAGCGGGAGGAGAAACAAGTCTCGCTTCTCTTTCGAGCGGTCCTTCACATGGGAGCCAACTTCAAGGTGGTTCGTAGATAGCGAGACGAAATCAGCAAAGTTGGGATAAAGCATAACGTAGCCGCGAAGATATACCAGCTCGATAAAGTATTTCTTCCACGATTTTCTCCATTGGTTAGAGCGTACCTCGGGAACGATGGTAGCGTCGATTTTGAGAGATAGTTCGGAAAACCGGACCGACAGATAATCGTGGAATTCGCGCCAGTGTTCCGGGAAGTATACCGCGCCCCAGCTGCAAGGGATTTGTGAAAGGTATGGTGATGACACCGGCAATTCCAAGCTCTTGAAGAGAGCCCGTGCATCAAATTTTCTCCGTCCGTCGGAATGAAGTTCGATATGCTTTTGTTGATAAAGGCTGACACCGAAAAGTTGTGGTGACACATTACATTCCTCGCCGTAGCTGATTTATGTTAACTGGGTCCATGATCGAGGAAAATATTACCCACCGGTAGCGAAGGATGGTCATTTTGATCCATGCATAGAACAAGGGTGATAGTTCTACATCATCCTCAAGCAAAAGACCGTAGCTGTGATTCGAATTTGGATACCAAGATTCAACCACAGCAGGCAGCAGTCCTCCATGAATGACCCGATGGTGCATGAAGACGCTACCGTGAATCCATTGGAAATTGCGAGCCAGATGCACAGTAGCATCATCGGACGATTGTTCCAAATTGATTCTCAGATCCAGTCGGTCACCGTAGAATCTCCCGCTGGCGAACGAACTCAATAATCGAGCCAAGGAATGTGGTCTATCCTTAGTGATGACACTAACATCGACTTGTGGAATGTTCCAATCTAGTCGAGTGGTAAGATTTTGCATCGGGCAAATGAGAGAACGTACTTCGCCATTCAGAAAACGAAAGTGCCCCCATCCATACACAATAGGGTAGGTCCCGCCGAGGTAAACGCACTCTGGTAGCAGAGGTGGTCGCAAGTTCAAGTTCATTCAGAGATAATACAATATCTGGGGGACGGCCGAAGATGCGATAGACCTGTAAGGAGTAGTCCTGGGGTTCAGACAGAATGCTATATTGGATGACGCACGATCCATGACTGAACGACTGTTTTGAGGAAGGTGATGTGACGACCAGAGAATACACCGCGGCATATACCAGAAATCCCTTTCTTTGAAGCTGGCAAGGAACCGACGCAAATGTCTGCAGATCGCTCAAGGTTGGAAATAGGATGATGAACACCGGCTGAAGCTGACGATCCTCAACAACAGAGCAACGAGGAGTTGAATCAACGCTACTGTTACTGGGGAGATGAGGGATATTTACGAGACTATCCAAGGCGCCAAAACCTTTTGGGGGTCTACACCAAGCGGGATCTTTCCCTGGAGAAAATGGTAGCACAACTCCGCCGTGTTCGCGATTAGTTATAAATGCGATGTGAGTTCCAAAGTCGCGCCAAAAGTGAGAATCGGAAGCGCGGCTGGTGGAGTATGCTAGAGTCCTCGGCATCACAAAAGGTGGCACTAAGTACGAAGCCTTCTCAGGCACTCGGGAAGGAGCAACGCATGATGTGCGAAAGCCTCTAGGTCCTACCGGGATAGAAGAATGGGGTGGATTGAGAAGTACAGCTCGAATTTCCACGCTTATGGTAGAGAGAGCAGTGTCATCGAGGAGTAAAACCCAATCGGTGACAACTTGCGATGCAACCCTGAGAACAGCCATCGCGCCATGTGCATCTCGCGGCCATATACGAAGGGAGAAATCCGGGTGATCTATACCATCCAGAGATGAAACGAAATCACGTATCAGAGATTGTGTCGCCGCAAGGTTAGATTCTGGCGTGACAAGAACAATTTCGCTTAGACGTGATGCGGATAAAAAAGGCAGGATCAGGTCGGTAAGTATTGGAATGGATGAAGGCAGAAAAGGGAGGACGGCCGTCAGCGAGTGCGGTTCGACGATTCGAGACATATTGAGATGGACAGCGTATCGATGAGAAGGGGAAGGTGGGCCATTAGTTATAGGATTGCTTGGGCGTTGTCGAAAAAAAGTAAACCAGACGAAACACGGAAGAAATATTAAGAGAGGGACGGTGCGTTGTGAAATGAACGAATGCATTGAACAAAAGTTGGGAGGAGTCGAGGCAAAATCACAACACGCCAAAGCCGGCCCTAAACAAATCATGTGGCCTTGGCTCAGGCAAATGTCGTGACACGGACCCGTTGAACAATACACTCATCTGCCTCCGACTTCTATCCCAGCTGCTGACCATTTGCTATGCACCGAAGAGGAAACAAGTCCAAAAAGGCGCGTCATTTACTCTCGCTACCTACCATTTCAGTATTGAACTGTTGTCCTAGGTCCCTAATGTCAAATTACGTCCTGCACAACCGAAATCCTCTTCGTCGAAGCGAAAGGAAACTGAAGAGAAGCTATGGGCGGAGGAGACCCAGCTAGGAAGCGAGGACACGAGCTATATGGACCCTTGTCCGAGGCCGTTTTTGGGAATGGTCATATGTGCAACAGGAATCCAGGACAAGGCACGTCGTGTTCATCTGTACAATTCTCTATATTAACAGCGCCACCAGCCAGCCCTATTCAAGAAAGCCATAGAACTCGGTGCCCAGACCGCTTCAGCGTTTACAGATCGTGTCACCCACCTTGTGGCGAAAGATCATGGCGGAGCAAAATATAATGTACGTCCTATTCACCTTTCTGTGCCAGCCTTGATTTACACTGTCTAGTGCGCCCTGCAACTTAAGATACCAATACTACAGCCAAAGTGGATAACCGAGTGCCATGAGGTCTGGCTCCGAGGAGATGATTTTGACGTTCAAGAGGTGCGCGACCGCTTGTTAGTGTTGTCCTCTAATTCATAACGTACCTTGTAGAGCCTGGAGAAATATCGCCTACCAGTTTTCTCGGGGATCATTCTATCTATTTCAGGCATAACGGACTTGGAAAGACGGACGCAAATTAACCGGCTATTAATCCAACAGAAGGGCGTTTATGCCAAGGAACTCACACGACCAGTCAAGGTGACACATCTACTGTGTTCTGGCGACGATGAGACAGATAAGATGAAATATGCCGAAAAATTCAATCAAAATAAGGAAGCCAATATACATCTCGTGTGGGAAGAATGGTTTTGGGATTCGTTGGAGTTCGGCGGTGAGTATCCGCTTACGTAAGGTCTTCGTATCTCTGAAATCCATTGCAGGACGATTCGATGAGGAAACATATCAAGTCCGGCGCCCACGACCAGAACGCAAGTCTATTACTGAACGTTTGTATTTTAGCCACCTTGTCAAATCATCAATCTTACCCTTTTTTTTCTCTCACAGCCCCTGCTTCTTCTTCACCGGCTACGGACCCAGAGCCAACAATGTCTCTCCCTAATAATGTGGACGATGAAGAAGAGCCCGCCTCGATTAACCGCGTACCTGCCGTAACTGTCAAAGTATGGCAGAGCCTTCTACAACACAGGGGATATGAGGTTTCGAGTGAAGGCCGTCTTGTTCGAAGTCCAATGAAATCACAGCCTACTAAACAACTTCTTGAGGACCGACCGTCCTCACCGACGGGCGAAAGCATTATCACCAAATTTCGGCGTGCCAACTCCTTTGCGCCTCCAAAACAGGGTTCTGGCGAAACTCCCTTCGCCCGGAGTAACTCTGAGCCTGTTGCTGGACCTTCGTCAATTGCGACTACTTCGACGTTATTTACAGGGATCAAGTTTTGTGCTCTTGGAGAAGCCAAGTCAGCATCTGTTAAAGACGCGATCGAGCGCTCTGGTGGCAGCCTCACTTCAGAAGAGGATGATGCGGACTATATCCTCGTTCGCCTCGTCAGGTAAAGTGTTTTTCTCTTCCTTGATATCACTGTCTCATCGTAAGCATAGCGGCAGTAAATTTTTCGCTCGGAGATGGATCCGGAACAGAGAAAGAAGTATCGCACGGAATGCTGGCTTGAAAGGTCTATATTTGAGGAGAGACTTTGTGATCCTGAAGATCATGTATCATTCTCACCTCTCGGAATCGAAGTGCCTGTACCTAGTGAGTTTACTGATCTAGTGTCCGGTATCGGTACCATTGACGATATGTGCATTTAGATGCCGAAAAGGTACTTATCAGTTTTTCTGGCTTGGATGAATCGGAAGCCTATTTCACCCGCCGTCTTGTGCGAGCGCTCGGCATGACTCTAGCACCTGTATTTTCCCGCCAAGCGACTCACCTTCTGTGTCCTTCCGCTACGGGGGCAAAATATGACAAAGCGCGCGAATGGGGCGTACCCGTTATACATATGGGATGGCTGGCAGAGGCTGTGCGTATAGGCAGTGTCCCAGACGTGCCTGTTTTCCTAGTCGCGTCTATGAGTACCGATAAAAAGGGGAAGGGGAAGGCTGATGACGATTCAGCAATGGTTGATATTACCAACGGTAAGCTCCAGCTCAATGCTTATTACATGACATTCATATCCTGTGTCAGCAACCAAGCTAGGGACGGAACCGCCTTCACAATCTTCAGCGAGGGGACAGAAAGGTCTGGGCTCCGACCTTGAGCCATCAGGATTTCAACAAGCCTTGGAAGCGTGTCCGCAATCTTCGTTTCGACGCCCGCAGGATGCTCCTGTTATATCACCACCAAAACCTTCGTTCGGTAAACCTCGCAGCGGACTACTGAGCTCTAACATTCCGGGGTCAGTGGAACGGGAACAAACGCCTGTTTTCAGTATTCCATTACCCATCATACCGTCTGGAGGCGGAGATTCTGTACCAAAACCGTCGTCGGTCCACACGAGTCCCCCCAATCTACTTGGGAAGCGAAAATCAGAAGAAGGTCCAGTAGTGGAGAAGCGATTGCGTCCCCGTTTGAGGTCGAGACCGAGGTCGAGGCAAGAGTCCGCGCGAGATATCGCTGTTGAGGTGGCCGCATTGACTGACAGAGTGGCTGGCTTTGATGAGGCGTTTGACGAACTTGGTGGTGAAGGATTGGACAGCGACGTGGTAGGAAGCACAACGAAAGTTGGCGCACTGGAAAGTATGCGGGTGATGTACGAAGATCCCGGCCAACGCGAGGAGAAACGGAAGCTCTTGAATCTATTGAGCGGTGGAAATATGCAAGAACTAGGTACTACCTCTAAAGGTCAGACCCGAGCAAGTGGACGGAAGCGCTCGAGGGTTGCTGGCGTTTGAGATCTTTATTGCTATTTATTTATTTCTGTCTGATCTTTGAATGAAGACGTGGATGTAATTGCGTAGTATACACCAAGGGCCAGCGGTTTCGGCACCCCGAGGATATGGTAGAAGAGATTGCAAAGTACAGTACTCAGCACATAAGTTATACCTCATTCCTAGCTTCTAGGGCCTCTAACCGAGCTACTTGTCTGTGTTTCGTGAGATCCACGAAAAAACATCAATGATAAATGGAACATACCGATCTCTAACCGCTTCCTGCCACCTCTGCAATTTTGCAATCTCGTTCACTTGGAATCCATAGATTCTTGGCCTATACCTGTCGGCTTTGAGCGCGACACTGGCAGTGCTGATGCCTTCTCCTCCGTCACTCGCAACAACTTCTTGCACTTCTTCCCGAACCCCCCTTCTTCGTCTTCCCGAAGAATCCACACCTTCACGAGAGCTTGTAGCGCCTTCTGTTGGTGGACCAGTCTTGGGAGGAATTAATGTGGGGTATACCAAGAACAGGAGGTGGGGAAATGTCGTTCCAAAGTAGGCACCATCAATAGATCCATGTCGGGACGACTTGGGTGAGTATATATCTTCACAACGTCCACAATATAGCTTGACGGACTTTTCGTACGGAACATCGGTTAAACCTACGGGAAGAAGAGGTTGCTGTTGGCAGAGAACACGTGGACATCGTCCGAATTCGATGCGTTTGTACTTTTCGAGCTATAGTAAAGGATTATTGTATGAAGAACCAAGGATGTTCCAAGTGAACCAACCATTTTGGCTAGGCCTCGTGTCGTAACGATCCATCTAGCGTGTATGAGGCCGTACAAAAGTCTAGCTTGAACATCAAGTGAGGCGCGGAAGTCGTCTTGAATGTCATCATCTGCGACAAGACTCAGCGCTGCTTCCCTACGAGGAACGAGAAGGAGACCCACCAAGATTGTCAGTGATAAGGTCTAAAGCCTGAGGGTAGTTGACGATCTCGTTGTTCAGCCCAGTCAGGTTGAATCGGTCCAGAATGAAGTCTTCATCCACTTCGCAGAAGTACTCGTTACCCTTGGAGGATAAAAACCAAGATATCCACTGTACAGAGGGTTAATATAATCGAGGAAACTCAAATACATTGGGACATGCCGAGCTGAAGGCTGTTGAGACAAGGATAGTAATGGGTGTAAGAAATCATACCTGGAGTAATCCGAGTCGGATCCCGTTGAGATCTCCTCCACTGCACGATGAAGCATGGTAGTCAGTGTTCACGACGGTGCTAGGCAGACACGAACTTGCGAAGAACAACAACTGTGTAGGAGTAGGAGAAGAGGTGATAGTAACGTTATCGTCACGTCACACCCTTGATTTCTGCCCAATAATTTTTTGGAACTTTTTTGCATCAGAACTTCAATGGTCGAATCACGGCTGGTCGATGCAAAGGCCACATTTACTTCCTTTTCGCACCTCCTCGACGCGCGTCTCTTCGTGCTCTTCCGACATGGGCTTCGCCCGTCCCACTCTGGTACAAGCAAAAGCGATTCCATTAGCTCTCGAGAGCAAAGATATCTTAGCTCGTGCTCAGACTGGAAGTGGAAAGACTGCTGCATATTTGCATACCCATCGCACAGAAGATACTCAATGCAAAAAGTGTGGTGAGCTTCAATGGCATTCTCCTGGAAGTGTCGTTGATATATTGAATACAGTCTCTGGACAGAGAGGATGTCTCGTACCAGGCAACTCGGGCCTTAATTTTGGTTCCAACCAGAGAATTAGCCCAACAGGTCACCACCTCACTGAAGGATATATTAAGGTATGTGAAAAAGAAATCACCTGTGTCAATATCTCTGCCGGGACGACCTCGCATCTACAACGGTGAATCTTGCCCACTTTTAAGTTCTAGGACGACAAATAACGTCGAATCTTAGGACTCTTCTGTCGGACAAACCTGACATCGTGGTCGCTACACCAACTCGGGCATTAGTACTCCTTCAATCCAAGGTAAGCGTTTTCTGACACCTTCACACGAAGCTGAAGTTTTCCAGTCGCTGCTTTGGTGCTCTGGAGTCGCTGGTCTGCGAGGAGTCTCTGGCCATTGTTATGGCCATGATGAAACCGTTCGGCAGATATTCAGCGGATGTATCTACCAAAAAGTATTTCAATCATTCTTATGAGCGCCACTATGACAGAAGACGTCGAACTTCTGAAAGGGTTAACATTGCGCAGTCCAGTTAGTTCATACTTCTATGAGCCTCAAACATCTATCTCACCTTCTCTGCAGGCCATACTGAAATTAGAACAGGGCGAAGATGAAGCCGCCAATTTGACGCAATACTCCGTCAAGTGCGATAAATGTTCCATGCCCAAGTTCTTGAAATCTAATCGGTTTTCAGATGCTCAGAAGTGGACAAATTCCTCCTCACATACGTTATCCTGAAACTCAAGCTCATCAAAGGAAAATGCATTTTATTTGTCAATGATGTAGACCGGAGCTATCGGCTCAAACTCTTTCTTGAGCAGTTTTCCATCAAAAGCTGTGTCCTCAACTCGGAGCTCCCGCTAAACTCGAGGTGAGTAGATGGTATACGTGTTGGACACCCGGTTTGACGGGACAAACAGATATCATACGGTGCAGGAATTCAACAAAGGTGTCTATGACTATATAATCGCCACTGATGAAAGTGGAACCCATGGAGCAGACCAAGACTCCGAAGATGATGGTGATGATGATGATGATGATGATGATGATGAGGAGGAGGAGGAGGAAGAGCCCAATGATAAGAATGAAGAAGCTGAACAACAGTGTACGATTCTTTTCGAGTGTTGTAACTAATTGCTCATCGCGTTACAGTTACATCTACTCAACGAGAATTGAAGCCTTCATCCGAAGAGCCGCCAGCAGCTATCGGTTCCTCAAGCTCCTTGCACAAACGCAAACGATCTTCTCCAGAGCCTAGCCAGAAGCCCAGGAAACGAAGATCCCGAAAAGATGGAGGCGACAAAGAATACGGAGTAACCCGTGGAATCGATTTTGTCGACGTCGCCTGTGTCCTAAATTTTGACCTGCCAGGCAGTTCACGATCATATACCCATCGCATAGGACGCACTGCGCGCGCTGGACGGACAGGCATGTCATTGTCATTTGTGGTTCCACAAGACCAGTGGGGAAAAAACAAAGTCGTGGGATGCCTGCCAAGTGCTAAACGGGATGTCACGATATTTGAAAGAATTGAGCAAGAGCAAGCGGCAAGAGGCAGCAAGATCAAAGACTACGTTTTTGACATGAAACAGGTTGAGGCGTTCAGGTATAGAATGGAAGATGCCCTACGCTCAGTCACAAGGACGGCAATTCGAGAAGCTAGAATGAAGGAGTTGAAGACAGAAATACTGAATTCGGATAAACTGAAAGTAAGTTTTGTCCTCTTTTGTCTCTTACACACTCACTGTCTCTATTGAAGGCCCACTTTGAAGACAATCCTCTTGACCTAGAATATCTACGACATGACAAAGTGTTACATCCAACTCGAATCCAGCCTCACATGAAGCATGTGCCAAAATATCTCCTTCCGCGGGTTGCCCCTGTGAATGGAACGGCGGAAGGAGAGACGACAGCGGACAAATCGGTTGGTTTCGTTGGCTTCAAGAAGAACAATCGAGACTGGATCACGGCACCGAGGGCGTTGGTCGGGGACGCGTGGTGGCGACCGAGGGGGGAGAAAGAAGTCGGATCCTTTGAAGAAATTTGGTCGGTAGACATGGACGTTTTGATTGACTACATCTCCCATTTGTTTCCTTCTGATGATGGCTCATTGCGGTTGGTATGGACCTGTGTCGGTTTAGGGTGTAGGGGTTCGCGTTCCAAAAATGGAATTCTACTGATCCCTCATGATCGTGGTCATAGTGACATCATCGCTCTCGCGTATATGAATAGTGTGTTTGCTGGCGATTTGATTGCCTCCTTACTTTGAACCACGACCACCTCATCGATTTCGAACATCCTTCCGTTGTGTAGCACGATGGCCAAGGGTCGCAAAGCCGCTCAAGGCAAGAACAAGGCCTACCGTTTCCATTCCCAGAGGAGCCAGGCTTCACCATCGGAAACCCCGTGTCGAATAGCCCCGTCACTCCGATAACACCCAAGACGCCCGCCGACCGAAGGCATAGAATTCTTCCAGGCTGATGCTGTCCCGGAGAATCGCCTATACATGTTTACGAATTACGACTTGATGTGGATGGCGGGCCCTACAAGGACAGCTCGGTGAGCATTGATGTCCTTGAATAATCGCGTTTCTATTCACTAACAGTGCTTTTATAGTACATTCGTCTCCCCTCTGCTTATTCCCCGTACATTTTACGCGTCTCATGAATGCCGGAACCCCACGCAGCAAGGAACGGCGTATTCAAGACCAACTTTCCTCTAGGACGGCGGCCAATTCAATCGCGACCATTTTTGCGAGCGGAAGTAAGCCTTTTCACGCGCATATATGCGCCTTTCTTCATGATGCAAATAGTAAAATCCATTCTTAGGCTTCCTTCGGACTTTTCAAAACCTATCCAAGTCGATTTACCCATTTCTCACGCCGGAGCATTCGTCTTCTGGGTGGAGTATGATGGCGGAAATGCGGAGAGCGTATCAAGGGCAGAGAAGGCTATTTCAACATCGATCCAGTTTTGCGCATCAAATCACGCTCGCCTATCCTTGCTTCTGACCTCACACCTTTGCCTGCCGGCTCGGGGGCCTCTGTCCAAAATGAAATGGTCAACTTGCCTTTAGACGGATTGTCCATCCTTACCGTCGTATCCAAATGGATGGGCCCCATGTCTGACTGGCCAAAGCATTTCCAAGAGGCTCAAGAGCGGGGGTACACGATGTTACATTACACACCTTTACAAGAACGAGGTGAAAGTGACAGTCCTTACTCAATTCGCGAGCAGCTCAAGTACGATCCTGCCATGTTTGGGGAAAAACGTGGTACCGACGGTGGAAAGGCACAAGTGGAAACTATTCTGAAGATGGCACGAGAGCAGTATGGTCTCCTGAGCTTGACGGATGTAGTGTTGAACCATACTGCTAACGACAGTCCTTGGCTGGCTGATCATCCCGAAGCAGGTACGCTGTTCCGACTCCTCGCGCGCCTCAGCTAATTTCTCCCATAGGTTTCAGCCCGGCAAACTCACCTCACTTGACGCCTGCTTTAGAACTTGACACTGCAATGATCGA